GAACCGCTCGACTGTGAAAGTCTAAAGCAAACGCTGCTCAACTCAGACTCCGGCATTTATATACATCCCTCCCATGAAACCTCTCCCATTTCTAGCTGGGCTGCATTTCTACTTGGAGAGCCGTAACTCAGTGAGCCCTCTTCAATCAAGACAGATATATTTTCTGCAGTTTATGCCAGGCACGTGCATGCACCGAGGGCTACCCTGCCCGTGGCCAGCGTGTCCGACAAAATCTCTCCCACTTCTAGCTGGGCTGCATTTCTACTCAGAGAGCCGTCGCTCAGTGAGCCCTCTTCAATCAAGACAGAGATATTTTCTGCAATTTATGCCAGGCGCGTGCACACGCCGAGGGCTGCCCTGCCCGTGGGCAGTGCATCACCGCTGGGTTTGACACAGGTATCGTTTTCAACGGTAAGGCTGTTGCGCCTTCCCAGTGTCACAGCTGTAGCACTGTGCTAGGTTTAACAAGTGTTGCGAGCTGCCTTTCAGAGCCCAGAGGGGAGACACGGGTCATGGAATAATTTAAAAAATATATATAAAAAAGAAATCCTGCCTGGGAAATTCTCCTAGCCTCGCAGATTTCAGAGACATTAAGGCTGGAAGGGACCTGGGAGATCGAGTCCAGCCCCCAAGTTGGGGGGAAAAAGGAAATTCTCCTAATGTCCAAGTGTGGGGGGGTGGGGGGTCCCGCGCGCACCCGAGGGCTGCTCCAGATGGGAGCCAAGTGCAACAGCGAGCACGGAGCTGGGAAAAGTGTCTCTGCCCCGGAGAGCGGCGCTCCCTTTACCCCTCGGCTCGCCGCGAAACACCCGCCGCACGGGGGAAGTGCACGGCGAGGTGCAAATCAGAGTTAAAAAAAAATAAAAAAATAAAAAACCCCCGAAAAAACCCCCACCCCCCCGGCCCGGGGGGGCACCTGGAAGAGCCGCAGGATGTTGGCCACCATGATGGAGACGGAGCTGCCCGACGCCCCGATCACGCCGACCACCTTCTCGGGCTTGACGAAGACGGGCGGGTCGCCGTTGGTGCAGCGCACGTCGGACGTGTCCTTCTGGATGAGCGCCTGCACGAAGGTGAGCGACTGCTCCAGCGCGTAGGTGTCCCGCGAGCAGGTGTCCAGCACCCGCGCGCCCAGCGTCACGTTGGGCAGCAGCTCGGGGTCGGCGTTGATCTGGTCCAGCGCGTAGAGCATGGCCTCCAGGCGGTGCACGCCGTTCTCGCGCTTGATGTCCCCGCACGGCGCGCCGCTCGGGCCCTTGGCGTGCACCGGGAACAGCCCCCCCAGCGTGATGTCCCCCTCCAGGCGGATGGAGTGCGGGCCCCCGTGCGCCTCCTGCCCGCGCGCCGCCAGCACCAGCTCCAGCAGGCAGCAAGGCCCCTTC